CTGTACCACTGAGCTATATGTCTAACTCCACATTGGGTTCTTAATGTTGTATTCCCACTTGATCTTTAAAGTAACTTTCCATGTGCTACAACTGTCCTGAAACAGTGATTCTAAAAAGGGTCAGGACCTCTGGCCACTAGATTGAGAATATGGCCAAGCCAGTGAGATCCTAACGTCTGCTAAGATCAGCACACTTCAAACACTTCTCAGTGTTGCCAACTAGTTCATTTTAAAATTAATTTAAAAGTACCACCAATGCTGGGCATAGTAGTTCATGACTGCAATCCCAGCACTCAGGAGGCTGAGAGAGAAGGATCAAGAGTTTGAAGTCAGCCCGGGCAAGTAGATTACTAAATACTTTCTCTAATTACCTCCTCCAAGGGTATTTTAAATTTCACCTGTATCTCTAATTACATTGTCCCAGTTCATAAGAATACCATCTCCCCCAAAACCTAAAGTGTTCTGCAAATTCTCCCAACTCCAGTAGTCCCAGAAGGCAGGTGCAGACTGACTGATGGCAGAGGCCCAGATTGGACACTATAAAGGACAGCTACTGCCATTGCCTACTCAGGGAATAGAAGAGAGAAATCAAACGTGTGAGGACTTAAAATAGAATTGGAAAACAATGTCTTACACAAGACCAAACCAGGAAAGTACCGAGAAGACTCAGTGAAAACCCTGATAACCGGAGGTGCCATAGGAGTTTAGAACACAAGGAAGCTCACAGGGAGTGAGACAAGGGGTTCATTCAGACAAGAGATTTTGTGCATGGATGGCTTCCCAGGAGACGCATGATCTCGAAGGAATGACCTACTTGGACATTTAGATGAGGGGAGCAGCAGGAATGGGGGCACAGAGGGAGGAGTCACCTGCATATGGAGAAGATGATGAGACAGACCTGGCAGGGCAGGGGCAGAGAATGTGTGCTGGGGAGGCAGAGGGGAGAGGACAATGAAGGCAGGCGGGATTTCACTGCAATGGCCATGGACCTTGGATGGTTTCTTCCCACACTTCAAGTGTTCTCCACCATGCAGATTCCCTGCTGCTCAATCAGGACTGAATTGGAACAGAAACTTCTCCCACATCCTTGTATTTAGGGCTTCTCCCCAGTGTGGATTCACTTATGGACAACACAGTCATAACTATGAATGCCTTCCCATGGTCCTTCCACTTAAAGCAATTTTCCCTGTAGTGGATTCTTTGATGCCAGATATGTTTAGAGTTGTAGCTAAAGGTTTCCCCATAGTCCCCACATTTGTAGGGCTTCTCACCACCAAGGACTCTCTGATGCTAAAGAAGGTGGGAATTTTGACTAAAGGCTTGTTCACATTCTTCACAGGAGGGTGTCTTCTCCTAGGTTTGGATTATCTGATACAGTGACAGCTTTGAGTGATATCTGAAGTTAGTCCCACATTCTTGGCACTTGTAGGACTTCTCAGTGTGAATTTGCTGGTGCTGGTGAAGAGTGTGGGTTTAAGAATCTGCCATCAGCACACTTGTAAAACACCTGCTCCCTAGGAATGCCTGTTTTAGACATGAGTTCCATGGCAACATGACTGCTTCCTCACTGTTCCTGGCTCTCTCCTCTCTTGACAGTGGACAGTTTATGACCCTGGGCTGTGAAATCTATGCCACCTTTTTTTTTTTTTTTGTAGTACTGGCATTTGAACTCAGGTCTTACACTTTGAGCCACTCCACTAGCCCTTTTATTGTGAAGGGTTTTTTTTCCCAATATACTGTCTTGTAAACCATTTGGCTTCGCTGGCTTTGAATCGCAATCCTCCTGATTTCTGCCTCTTGAGTAGCTAGGATAATAGGTGTGAGCCACTGGTACCCAGCTACCATCTTCATTTTTCAGATTGTTTTCTTCCTTGTGTCCTAGGACAGCTACTCCAGCCTGTCCGTTATTGGCAGCCTCCACCCTCTCTGCAGGACTGAGTCTCTAGATATGTTCAACCTTGGATTTTGCTCCTTCATCCTCAGTCTTGGTTATACCACATAGTATGATTAAAAAGAAAACATGAGTCCCTTATTATTTGTGCTAGAAGGGGACAGGGATTAAGCAGAATCAGCATGCCTGGACACATGTGTTTTTAGAGAGCCCCATCATACCCAAAGTATCCCCAGAGAGAAAGAAAAACCCTTGGAGGTGGGAAGGTAGCAATGCCATGAAGGAGATAAAAGGGTGTAGATGGCAAAGCCATGGATTTAGAGAAATGCAAGCCAGGTGCAGTGGCCCATGTTGGTAATTCCAGCTCTTTGGAAGGCAGAGCTAAGAGAATTGCAAGTTAAGTCCAGCCCCAGGCAAAAAGCCCAAGACCCTGTCTGAAAAATAACTAAGGCAGAAAGATGTGAGATGTGAGATGTGGCTCAAATGGTAGAGCACTTTTCTAAGAAGGATGAAGCCCTGAGTTCAAATTCCATTTACCACACACACAATACACAAAAGGCAAATGAATAAAGGAAATGCAAATGGATGTAGAAGGTTCAGTACAGGGAAGTAATGATGAAAAGCAAGGTGTAGAAAGCGATCTCTGCACTGGAGGCAGCACCACAGGGCGGGAGAATCCCAAGGCCATCAGGCATGAGAGCTTCAGTTTAACCAGGCCTGCAGGTAATTCTAATGCACACCAGCGTCTGAGAGCTAAGTGGTTTATGATATACTGTCATAAGAAGGCCACTAGCCACCTGAAGTTAATTAAAAGGTAAATAAATTGGAAATTCAATTCCTCAGGTACACTCACCACACTTCAGTGAGTATGTGATTATGGCTTCCATACTGGGCAGTGTAGACACCATTCCCAACACTGCAGAAAGTTTTACTGGACAATGCTGGAGTGAAGGCCTTGGCAGATATAAACAGACATATGCAGTGATGGCAAGAAGCAACACTGACAACTGAGGGAAGGCCACCAAGAAAGGCTCATCAAGATGAGTTCAAGGGCTGATGAGACTTTCTAAAAGACAAATGCTGAGAGTGTGGCTCAAGTGGTAGAGTACATGAGTTCAAATCCTAGTAGGCAATAGGCAAAAAGAAAAAAAAGTGTAGGAAGAAGCACTTGGTTAACAGAGGCTCCAAATAACTGAAGGATTAAGAGTATGAGAAAGAAAAGTGTGATCGAAGGTTCTCCACCAAGTCTTGATTCTTTAAATTTACCTCAATTCAATATATTAAAAAAAAAAAGAAGCCATTAATTTTTTTAGCTTTATGAGGAAATGACAGGAAATGGAATGTGTGGACTGGTCTTTCTGTTTGGTGCACAAGCTAAGTAAGAATGACTGTTTTGCTGGATTTTGTGACATACTAGTATCCAAGCCTTGGAGGACTGAGGTGGGAAGACTGTAAGTTCCATGGCCAGCCAAGATGCACAAGATCCTATCTGAAAAAAAGCGACTTTTCATCCCTACAACTGCCATATGACAGGAGAAAACTCTTTCATGTTAAATTGTTCATAAAGAAGAGAAAAAACTGGAAAGGACCAGCATCGGCTCTACTTGCCTGTGCATAAGACTCTCAAGGTCTCTTTCCAGCAGGTGACCAGAGATCCAGCTCCTGGTACTTCCCCTCACTACAGCCAGGATATCAGTCTGGTTCATGGAATAGAAATGCTGCTAAAGGAGAAAGAAAAGGAACAAGAAGCCAGGAAGACTACCATCTCCTTTGTCCAGAGGTCCAAGTGAGATCAAGTGAGGAAAGAATGGATGCCACCATGTGTGAGGCTCCTTGGCCATGTGGGAAGGGCTGAGGTCTCACACCAGCAACAAGCACAATTTGCCAGCCCTGTGAGTGAGGGACAAATAGAGGCAGATTGTCCAGACTCCATCAAGATGCTGACAGCTCTGAGTGACACCTGACTGGAATCTCACCAGAGATCCCAGGAGAGGGACACCCAGCCATGCCATCCATCCCTGGCTTCCTGAGCCACAGACACAGAGAGAAAGTAGGTGGAAATTTTTTTCAACCACAGTGTTTTAGGATGATTGTGAAGCAGCAGCAGATTCCTAGCACACTCTCCATTATAGGACTTCTTTGTGTTCTGCAGTAGTTGGTACTTTTGTCTAAGTCATGTGAAAGGAATAACAAATTCCAAGAAGTGGGATCCCTATAAAAGAGCAAATACCTGCTACGCAGTGTCACTCTTCTGCTTCTTCTGGGGTCAATTCTCCTGTATAGCACCGAAATGCTTAATGAGTAGCAGCCAATTACCTGGGTCTGTGTTGACCAGAGAGGTCAAAATAAAATGAACTCTGCACCTCTTGCAACCAAATTGGTAAGAAGTGAGCAGATTAAGGCTGCTATAGGTGCAGTGATTTTCAGAAGCACTGTTACTGTAGTGAGGCACTTGGTTGGTGAATGTACAACAGGAGGGCCTCCATGATTGGCTGGCTTTCAGGAGTTTCTATCACGGATTGGCTCATGATCAGAAGCTTGATGCTGCACAAAGTGCATTTGCTAACTTGCACATGCTTATTTACTCACAGTGAGGGAAGCACCCAAGTGAGGCTGTTGCGTGCTGGTTAATTTTCAGAGCATATGTGCTGACCTGAAATTATGTTATATAACTGCAACTACTTATTTGAGACTTGAGACTTTGGTCAAAGAATGGCTTTGGATTTTTATTCACAGAGGCTCCCTCCCTACATTGCCCAGGCCGGCCTCTGACTACTGGGCTCCAGCCTGATTCCTGAGTCACTGGGAACTACAGAAGCACTCCACTGTGCTGGCTTTTTCCTTCTAGAATATGAAAAATAAGAACTTTTAATCTTCACCATCCCCTCCCTGCCTTTTATTGTATTTTTTCTTCTGCCAGCCAAACCCGAAGAAGAGACCGTCAGAGACTGTCCATACCTTTACTTGTAGAGTGTTGTTTTTCTTTCACTCGGTGTCATGTGAGTATTGGGTGTTAAATGACTTTCTACTGCAAGGTTCCAGTCTCCTGTGGGTCCCAGGAACGGTTAGGGAGGAAGGACAGATGAGGTTAGTTTTCTGAAGAGCTGACACTGGCTCGGACCGCTTAGGGAACAGGGACGAGGCGCCGATCTCCACGCCCTGCACCGCCAGGCACCGGGAGCCGCGCGCCATGCAGAGCGCGGACAGCGAGGACAGCGCGCTCACCTTGCTGCACTACGCGCTAAACCTGGGCTCTCAGGACTGCCGGGCTGCAGATCGGCCGCCTCACTCCCGGGGCGGGGCCAGGAGCCGCAGGATGTCACAGTCCCCGCCCACCAGCAACGCCGGCCACCCAGCCAGCCGCAGCAGCCCCGCCCTTCCGCCGGGCGGCGAGTCACGTGACGGGCCGCGGGTACCACCGAGACGCGCGACCTCCGGTAGTCTAGAGGGCCCTGGACGTGCTCGCACTTCCGGGTCGGCGTTTAGTGGGCAGCGGGTGCGCGCGAGGGAGGAGCGAGCGTTACGGCAGCGGTGCGGGCCGGGTCGGCCGGGCGTGGCGTCCTCGCTGCAGTGAGCAAGGTCCCAATGAGTCCCTGTGCGTCTTCTCGCGGCGCGTGGGCGTCGGGGCCTAGCTGAAGTACTCCAAAGCCAGCGAGGCGGGATCCTTCTGCTGACGTAAAATTCTGGTCCTGCGTCCGGCACCGACGTTAGTGATACTGTGACCCCGGCCTGGGTGCAGCGTAAAGGTCCCCGCGGGATCTGGGTGGACATGACTCCCTGAGACAGTAGAACTTTGTCCCCCATCCGCACCCGGGCAGGTCTGCCCCTCCTCTCAGAGGCATTCGCTTTTGGTCAATGCCAAGGTCCCGTAAACGTGTGTAGACACCCCACGCCGCAGGGCCACAGTTCACCTGGGACCCTCCATCCACTGCGTGGGGGTCGCGCAGGAAGGCTCGGGGGACAGCGGGGAATGGAGGATTGTATGAGGGCCAGGCTGTGCAGTGCTTAAAGAGGTTGCGGTGAGGAGCTTGAGAACAGCCAGAGGTGTCACTTAGACAGAGAGGGCTACAGGTGGCAGTGGGTGACACAAGACAGGGTCCGTAGTGTTGCAGGAAACTTTATAGACAGGATGACTGACCAGTGAGAATAAGACTCAAACCCAGGTGGTTGGAGGAAAGGAAGGTTTGTAAACTAGGGGAATAGCACCTGGATATCTCCAAAATGGAGACATCAGCCATGCTGCAAACAGCTTAACCTCTGGTGAGCTGAGCTTTCAGTCACACTGGCTCTGAGGGAAAGAGGAAAGCATGAAGACGGGCTCATTTGGCCAGGCTATGGCTTACCCATTGATCCTGTCATCAGGGCTGTGGCACATGGAACTTTTAAGGTGGGCAGTGATGAGTTTAGATATGTAGATACAAGTGGAACTGGAAACTCAAGCCTGGAAATTCTCCCTGAATGTGACATCAGATCGAGTTCTACAAAGAATAGTCACCTGCTGACATCAGAGAGCTTGTTCATTGAAGAGCTTACCCAACAGATGGTGGGTATATCTTGGAGAGACCAGTGGTGTTGTGTCTGCATTTTGTAAATGCTAGATGCAAAGGGTCGAAGTGGGGGAAAAGGCTGGGTGTCCTGTAGAAACAGGAAGAACTCGGAGAACATGTTTCAGAAGAGGTCAAAGAAGGTGGGAGAGGTAGGCACAGGTAATGTAGGCCATGGTGAAGATTCAGAGACTGTTCTGAGTCCAATGGGAGTTCACTGAGGAGTTTTAAGCGGGGGAAGGTAACATGGTGAGATTTATATAGTGAAAAGATTTTTTTTCAGCCTTTAGTGGTGAATTGGTTGGTGGATGGTGTGAGTCATTTAAGAGGATATTGCAGCTCAGGTATTGTTTGTTCATTATATTTATTTTTGATATAGTTTTTATTTATAGAAGAGTTAGGTTCAAGGGAAAATTGAGCAGATATCAGAGTTCCCAAATACCTCCTGTCACCATTCAGGGCATAGTCTCTAATTCTGTACAGTCTGCACAAAAGTAGCACATTTGTGGCTTTTGAGGGGGCAAATTTTATTTTTCATTCACCATATATTAATAAAACGAGGGAGTTCCCTGTGATAATTCTGTATGTGTGTCCAGTGTACTTAGAACCAAGTCTCTGCTCCACTATCTCCCCATACCCTCTCTCCCTCTTCCCCTCTCATTCAAACAGGGTTTGGTGAGTTTCCTTATTTTGTCCTCATATCTATATATGCAGAGTACTTCATCCTCTTCACCCCTCAGTATATTTCCTTTTCCAGAGTGGTACATTTGTTACAAGGGATGAAGCTTCGTTCACACATCATTATGCCCTGAAACCATAGTTTATATTCACTCCTGGTGTGGACATCCTATGGGTTTGAACAGATGTTTAATGACATTATCCATCATTATGGGATCCTACAGAATAGTTTCACTGCCCTAGAAATGTTCTGTGTGTCTCCTATTGATCCCTCCCTCCACCTTGACCTCTGACAATCACTGATTGACCTTTCACTCTTCCATAGCACTGTCTTTTCCAGAATGACGTATAGCTGGTTGAGAAACCATGAGCTTTTTCAATTGGCTTCTTTCAGTTAGTACGGTTCCAGGTTCCTCAGTAATTTCATGGCATGCTAGGTCATTTCTTTTTAGTGCTGAATAATATCCCATTGTCTATACAACTTTATTGATCCATTCACCTACTAAAGGACATCCTGGTTGCATCCAATTTTGGCAAAGTCAAACTTCTTTACTTGTCTGTGTGTAGGCACAGGTATTTCAGTTACTTTGTTAGAATATCAAGCAGCATGATTGCTGGATCATATGGGAAGAGTATGTTTAGCTCTGCAAGACACTGTCCAACTGCCTCCAAAGTATCTGCACTAGTTTGCATTCCTGCCAGCCATGAATGAGAGTTTCTGTGTCTGTGTTTTAAATTTTGGCCATATTGATAGGTCTGTAGTGCTCTCTCTTTGTCCTTTTAATTTACAATTTCCTAATGGCATGGACTGTTGAGCATCCTTCAAGTGTCTATTTGCCCTCTGTATTTTCTTTGCTGAGGTATCCAAGCGTTGGCTATAATGCTTCACTTGTCCAAGTACAGGTTTTGTGCAGGCATAGGTTTTTGCCCCTTTGGTAAAATACCAAGGAGCTCATATAATGTTGAGCATTGTCCTTTCAATTTGCTGTTCCTTAATGACATTAATGTTGAGCATGTCTTTTTTTGGGGGAAGGGGTGGACACAGCTAGTTTAGGAGTATCAGAGACTGACCATGCCCATCTAGGACTACACTGGGTCCTTATGGAAGGGTTCAGAGGCTCTGGCTTTCTGCGTGCAGTTTTGAAACAGCTGAGCCCCAATCCAAGTTGTGGGAAAGCATGCGTGTGGCCACAAGGGAAACAGTAAAGATGTATTGAATAATTTTTGGGAAATTGGAGAATTTGAGATGCTGTTCTCTGAAGTGGAGGCAGGAATAGGTCTTGATGAGGTTTGGGGGTTAGTCATTTTTTGGAAAAGTTTGTGAGCTTCACGTGTGAGAAAAAGGCATGTTGGTTTAGCAGATTTGAATTAAATTCCTACCTCTGCCATTTCCTGGCTGTTTGATTTTGGCATAGTAACTAATCTTTCTCAACCTAGTTTCATCATTTGAAAAATGTGAATAATAATTCTTATCTCACTTACGTGTTGTAAAGGATTACAGGATTTAAAATCACCCAGCTAAAAACCTGGCCCACTGTAGCTAATCAAGTATTTGCTCACTTCAGTCTTGGGAGGCAGAGGGGCACCAGGGGAGACAAAGAGGGGCACAGCTAGTGACAGTGACAGCCTTGGAGGTGGGATGGAACTGAGAAGACCCTGGGATCGATCTGTGTCAAAGGACTGGAAACTACCGACCTATTTCTTAAGACAAATGGTTTAGACAGTGGCGAGAACAGGAAGATATAGGTTTCTTTCAAGAGAAACAGCTTCTTATAAGTCAGAAAGGTGGAAAAGAGAAATATGCAAAATACTGATAGTATTTGTGAGCATGGACAGATCTTCCCTCTGGACAATATTGGAAGAGACTGCAAAGAAGCTGGGTACAGGGAAGAAATGGGGCTGTGCATGTGCAGTGTGGATGGGTAGAGACAGTAATGGTCGCTGTCCTTAGTGAATAGTGTACAGACAGTAAGGTGACAGGCTATGGAGGACATGAGGGTGTAGGTGACAGAGGGCAGATCTGTACAGCCAGGAACATAGGGGTTGACATGGTTACCAGGGACAGAGCACTGAATGCTAGGCTGTGCAGTGGGATAGCAGTGGGCCATAGGGTTTTAGAGATGGGAGAGTGCTGGGGCTCCAGTTGAAAGGGGGAACACTGACTGGGGATCTGGGGGCTTTTCTTGCTAGAGCAAACCTTCAATTCGGCCCAGCGTTGTGGGCGCTGAGAGGGCTACCCCTTCCTGCAGCTCAGACTGCCCTCTCCTGCCCTTTATTGGGAGCTTGAGCAGGATTCTGTTGTTTCAGGAGTTGGTGTCCTTTGAGGATGTGGCTGTGTACTTCACCCAGAGTCAGTGGGCCAGCCTGAGTCTGAGCAGAGGGCCCTGTACAGGGACATGACGCTGAGGAATTACACAAATGCGACTTCCCTGGGTAAGGCCTCCAGGGTACTTTATGGGAGTCAGTTATTGTCCTCAGAAGCTTTGGGGATCCTCATAGCCCTTAGGTTTAATGACTTAAGGAGAAAAGTCTGCACCAGCCTCCAGAAGGACTGGTTGGGGGAAATCCCAGGTTCCCTGGACTTTTTTTTTTTTTTTTAACAAGTGCTCTACCACTTGAGCCACTCTGCCAGCCCTTTTTTGTGTTGAATATTTTCAAAATAGGATCTTGCAAACTATGCCTGAGCTGGTTTAGAATCTTCTGATCTTTGCCTCATGAGTAGCTGAAATTACAGTCATGAGCCACTGGTGCCTGGCTCCCTTGACTTTGAAACTAGACTTTTCTTATACTGCAGGGAATTGTGTGGTTCTGGGCCCCGAGGATAGGGTCCTTTCCTGGTACCCCTAGTTAGCTCTTTGTTGCTCCTTCCAGTTTGGGTGTCATTACCCTCTCCTTTCTGGAAAGGTTCCCAGGAAAGTTGTACGTACACCCTTCCTAAGGGACTGTCCTTTTTTCCACATCTGGGCCAGA